TTCCAGAACTTCTCCTTTTCTTCCAACTCACAGCCCACCTGTGGGGCATAACCACTAACAACATTTATCATCACTCCTTCTATTTCTACCTTCACACACATCAACCTGTCTGACTCTCGTTTCACCTCTACCACATTTCTTACATGTTCTTTCTTTAGGATCACCATCCCCATCTGAACCATGATAAAACAGTTTGTTCAGGCTCACAGTTATAGCAGTAGTAGAGGAAGGTGAGTCCAGTTCACAAATAACACATCCTGAATCTACCATATTTTTATCTACACACTCAAAAACAAAACAACCAGAAGTAAAAAAAAATATCCCTGTATATACCATGCTGACATCGAGGGGCAGGACGAAGACAATAAGGAAGCAGAGGTACCAGGACAGCAGTGTCCCGAACAGGACCATCTGCTGCTGCTTCCACAAATCTCCATAGCGATGGATAAGGCAGAGGGCCAAGAAGAAGAGAACTATAATCACAACGGCCAGCACAGCAGCAGTCATGACGATGAATCAGCGGGCAGACGTCAGATGTCACACTGAAGTAGCTGAGAGAAACAGGAGATTTACAGCGTACATGAACGGCAGAGACAGGAGATCCTGGAGTAAACTTTAAGTTATCAACACTTATCTTACAAATACCAGGGAGGAACTGTTATGACCTGTACTCTCAGAGTAATGCAGTACTTGATACTGCTGTGACTAAAAAGGAGAGAACTTAAAATACTCAGTGGAGGACATGACTTGAAAAAGATTGAGAATTAGGGATTTAATAAAAGAAAATCCAATTTAAAAAAATGCATGAAAAAAAGGAAGGCCTCAGTAAAGAGCTTTGTTGATAATAAAGTGTATAGTTGATAAGGTGCCAACACCTTGTCCCATGACAAACATGAAATACAAACAGGATACCATGTGGCTTAAAAATTAAAACAAAGGCACTACAGTAATAGCAATTTAAGTTAGACCTCAGCACAAGCTCTTAAACTATCTCTGGATATTCTTTTTTTTTTTAATTTTCAAAGTTTGTCTTTTTAAGATTAAGTTAAGACATTTAGTCGATTTATTGTCACCACAAACTTTACCTTTCTTAATTTAGAAAACTGTTTGTGCAACTTTAATAACCCAAGCTCTGAGTCTGACACCCAAAGATCATTTTAATCAAGTGAATAAAAGTAATGTAAATTTTTAAAAATTGTTGCAATATCGTACATTACTGTACAAACAAACCAGAACAGAAAATAGATAAATATTGTAAAGTAATGAAAAAATTAACTTCACCAAACTTGAAAAAAGAAAAGAAAATTAAGAACAGGGGATTTATTTACATATATTTAACCTCCAACAGAAATATTTCATAAAATATGCTTCAAAAGACGAATTGTAATGTATTATTATGTAGTTATGTAGTTGGTTTTGAGACTAAAACGTGTATTATTTGACCTTTTTTTTCCAGAAAGAACCATTTGTTCATACAGCTGTGTCCAACTTCACACACACTCGAGCCAAGCCAGGATTTTCAGCTAAAATGGACAGCGTCAGAATCTTTCTTACCTTGGACGGTTTCCTTCGCTGTGTGAAGACAGTGAGTTGACAGGTTTGATGATAACAGTTTCTGAATTTACAGTGAGCGTCTGTGAGAAGAAGTCTGACTAAAGTACACAACTTTTGAAACAACATTACATAATAGGCGAAAGCGAGTTTACTCGGGTCCTAGCACCCTCTCGTGGACATTTCAAGTATCATCAGTCAAGTATAGTATTACATGTACTGTAAGTCAGAGGTATCACATTATGCCTTGTCCGAAATTCTCATCCACTCCTATTTATTCCCTTAACCCTTGTGCGGTCCTTCGCATTTTTGTACACACAGTTTGTCCTTGCAATGATACAGGAACAGTACAGGAACATGCACACGCACACACACAAAGACATATTGGGTCTGGGAAGGCCCTTACAAGGGTTAATGAAATCCGTTAGTATCAACTCTCATGGTGAAATGAAGTTACCCTTAATAATAATGAAGCAGCAGCATAGTTTTATGAAGTGTTTAGATAATATTTAGAGAATTAAGCAGAATCTGAAATACATTGGTATAATCTTTAAAAAAGTATTTTTTAAATACCAAATAATAACAGAGAAACATGACAGAATGTCTGAATGTTTCTATCAACAAGGGCACTTATATCTGCCAAGTCAAACTCCTGGTATGTCAACTGGTGTCCCAATCCTTTTTGGAGCCATTTTGAACCTGTCGAGGCAGATGATGTGACAGGATCCATCCATCCATTTTCATCCGC